TTTCTGACCATTAAACCACGTCGAGCTGCCATATATATATATATATATATATATATATATATATATATATATATATATATATGTGTGTGTGTGTGTGTATATATATATATATATATATATATATATATATGTGTGTGTGTGTGTGTGTGTGTGCGTGTATATATATATATATATATATATATATATATATATATATATATATATATATATATATATATATATATATATATATATATAAATAAACAAACGGCACGATGGAGTAATGGATGCCGGCTTGGATTGAGGAATCAGAGAGCCGAGTTCGAATCCATTATATTCACACGTGCTAATACCATTGAGAAAGGTGTGAATCCGCTTCTTCTCTCTCCATCTATGGGTAAATAGCAGGACAGACTGGGTTCTATAGCTTTGGATGGCAACTGGTCTAGGAGAAGGACAACTCTGAATTCAAAACCTGTGGAGGGTCGTTTGGGGACCTTGTGGTACGTAGTGCACCAGGTCTCTGTATTCGGCCCTTCAAAAAGTGTGGCTGGTCCTGCACGAAACCTTCACCACTATAATCAAATCTCATGTGCTGTTGTCGGGCTGTCGGTTTCCTAGGAACTGATCTGCTTGACCCTTATACGTCAAATTCGACGGCAGAGTCGAGTGAGTATATATATATATATATATATATATATATATGATCAGTAATGCCTCTTTTATACAAATTTCATTAAAGACGCCTGACAAGGCACTGCGATGAAGCTTTTTAATAATTGTTTTTTATTAAATCTTTCTAACGTAGTTTCTTTTCTGTACATAAACTGTGTAAAATCCAAATTTTCTATATATTCGGGAGCTTTCGGCTATTCTATTTTCAAGATGTTTTTGTATCTTTATTAACTGAATGTGTAGATTTTTCTATACGTATCTAAAGTGATAGGAATTTTTTATTATTATTATCATTATTATTCCTTTGATTTCTGGTGTGTACACATATCTTTCCGGGTCCCGTCCAGATACCTAAGGTTAGAAATGGCATCATGACATTTTAAACAAACAAAAAAAATACATAGATAAAGCCCTTCGTAAGGTGTGGGCCGTACTTGTGTTGTAGAGTAGTTTTCACAGTGGAGGCTTGTATTTTCACTAAGTCGGTCTTAAAAGGGTTCGACGTACAAAACGTTAGGAACTTGAAATAATAGTGAATGACGCATCAATCTAGTTGTGGTGGTTGATACTTTAATGTCCGACATCGACTGACTCACCAACTCACTAAGCTCATTGGCGACTGCTACTACTACTAATTATTATATGTGGGAGAGTCTATTAACAATAGAATAGGTATGTTCCGGTATAACAACTTGTGAGAACAATTTTTTGTATTTCTTTAAAGCACGGGCTTCCAGGAATCCCTTTAATTAGTCTACTGGAATCTTTTCCAACCAATCCGAGGGCTCCAACTACAAAAGGGATTGTTGATGTCCCCATATGCCACATTTTTGAGATTTCGATTTCAAGGTCCTTGTATTTTGATAGCTTTTTGAAGATCTTCAAAGATACATTGCGGTCTGCAGGGACTGCCATATCAAGAAAGATACACTTTTTTGCGGTCTCTAATAATGTCTGAGCGGTTAGCTTTGATTGTTCTGTCAGTGTGTATTGTGTAGTCCCATAAAATTGTAACAGGTCCTATCTCTGTAACCGGGTCTGGGTGGTGTTCATTTCAGTTTCCAATTTTCCAGTTTTCCAGTGCAGATATTGGCCCACTCTGTCATGTCGGGTTTTATATTCAGTGGGTGCCAATATCGTGCAACCTGATACCAGATGATCAATCGTTTCTGGATATTTATCACAGAATCTGCATTTTTGGGCTGACACAATATTTTTTTAGTATATGTGCTTGATAATTCCTAGTTAGCAAGCATTGGTCCTGCGCAGCAAGGATAAAACCTTCAGTTTCAGCTTTCAACCCTGCACTACGTAGCCACTGATGGGTACGGGTTTTGTCTACGTCAGCTTGTTTGGTACGGGCAGGGTATTGGCCATGAAGCGGTTTATCGTGCCATTGTTTCTGTATCTGGTCGGTTGCATTTGTTTTTGCTCTCTTTTTTTATGTATTTTACAGCTCCAGTCGATGTATTCTGCTTTACTTGTATTTCTTCATCCATTTTGAACTTATTATTATTATTATTATTATTATTATTATACCGGTCGACATTTTTTCGATCCAGATGTTGCTGGACAATAGGCAAATGTTTCTCGGCTATATTTTCACGCTGAATCTGAAAACCAAGTTCATTTTCCCCCATCACATCACGTTTTCTCGGTAAAGGTAATCTCTATTTTTCTCAAAATAAGCCAAACTACCAATTTAACGGTGATATGCCAGTGCCAAGTAAAACCAACCTTAAACGTCTTCAGCTTAGAATAACTTATCATAAAAGAAAAAAGTATCCCAATAATTTAAAGAATGCATTTACAGCCCTTTCCTTTCACAAAAAGGTTTTCAGAAGAATCTCAAACAAAATTAAATTAAGGCAAACATGTGTCATCAATTTTTGAATCAAAACAGACAATGAAGACACAAAGGAATGAAAATTAGATTCATTTTTGTCCATCCAAACGTATAAATCTTCTCTTCTTGGAAACACTACGCTGCTTTTGAAAAGATTGATCTCTTTTGATGGCCCGGCAGAAATCAGCCATCAACATCCCATATGCCTAGCTGGCTATGCCTATCAGGTGTTTAGCGGCTATTTTAAGCGCTGATAAAGAAAATTCTAATCTTGTTAGTCTCAAATACATTCGCCTAACACCCTAACAACCCTAATTTGTCGATTTTCCTTGGCTGAGACGAACGTAGGAATGAGTTATAGATTAAGGTTTTTCGAGAGTTGCTGTGCGGACGTCAGGGTAACTAGACATATTAGATTGCGTTTGTACCAACAAGTGGGGAATGGTCTTTCGAAGATTGGTTGTTACCTGTCAAAGGAAACGGACGTGTGAGATTTTCGTGTTTTAAAGTGGCCCCCAAATAGGGGGAGTAGTAACCCTCACCTGATAGAAGATGTACCCGTCGACGCGGTTAATAAAATAATAGTTACATTAAAAGTTCTCTTTGTTGACGCTTTTTGTGTTTGAACCCAAAGAATATTTCGCTATTCCGACCGTAGAAGAGGAGACAGCGAAAACGACTAGTAATCACCAATCAGAAAAAAACTGAGACCAACCAACACCCCCACCGATGAAGGATATACAACAGTAGTTTTTCTATTAATATGTATTGTTTGTAATTTATGGCTTAAACTAAATATATTTTGAACGCAATTGTATGCGTTCACCTATAGATAAAATGTGTTGTTGGTCATTTTGCTATAAAATATACTGTTAGTATATATTAACAAATGGACAAAGTCCGACAATTTATTTATTAAAGACATTTTTATGTTTAACGTTCTTTTTTTTATCGATACAAGTATTTAAGCAAATGCTCTGTTTATAATAAACAGTATTAAATAACATTCACCGGCCTGAATGTCCAAGAAATTTTTCATAGAAAATATTCGTCCTTTGACAGGATTTGAACCTGCATCCTATACGGAACCGTCATTTACGCTGACGTGCCTTACCGTCTCGGCCACAAAGGATCGTATCTTTAAAAAAGAACGTTAAACATAAAAATGTCTTTAATAAATAAATTGTCGGACTTTGTCCATTTCTTAATACATGACGTCATTTGTTTACATTTGATACGCCAGAGCAGTTATGAATGTACGAGATTCATGGAAGATTGAAGTTTATAAGCAGTAAATTCGACCTTGCCTACCGAATGCTCCTTTGTGGCCGAGACGGTAAGGCACGTCAGCGTAAATGACGGTTCCGTATAGGATGCAGGTTCGAATCCTGTCAAAGGACGAATATTTTCTATGAAAATTTCTCGGACATTCAGGCCGGTAAATGTTATTTAATACTGTTTATTATAAATAGAGCATTTACTTAAATACTTGTATCTATAAAAAAGAACGTTAAACATAAAAATGTCCTTAATAAATAAACTGTTAGTATAGTAGGTTTACCATTTTGCGGTTTAACATATCGTTTGTTTAGGGGCATATCAATCGCTATGGATTATTTAATACCAAAAACTCGATCTTGCCAGGTAAGCGTAACAAACCCACACGCATAAGGTTTCTTGTAAAAAATATTCTTTGTTTTTTTTGCATTTTTCAAAGGTCTTTTGAATTTTCCTTCTCCTAGACCAGTTGCCATCCAAGGCTATAGTATTGCTAGTAATTCTGCCATAAAATATATTGTTCCTAATTTGATTTTAAATAGTTATCGTTGGTAATTTTGTTATATAAAATGTATTATTGTTTTGTTTGTTTTTTTTTACTATGAAAATGTATTTTTATACATTCATATGTTTATTTTTTGTTTAAGGGGTCACTATATTTCCGTAGTTGGGGCCCTAATAAAATATTAAAAAAATAAACAGGAAATAAATGTCAGACATTGGAAGTATAGAGTTGAAGTAGACTTTAGAAGGTACCTGAAACCCAATCCTAAAGAGGAAACATGAGATACACCACTCCTGTTCAAAAGACTCGGAGGAGCGTAAACCGGGCGATAGGCACACGTATTTACTCCTATTAAAGAGGAGGGGGAAAGAAGTTATTTTACTCATTTTCCATGCAGGGCTGACTGAATTGCGCTGACCGAAAATATTTAGCTGTATTATTGCTTTTGTTTAGCGGCATATCAATCGCTATGGATTATTTAATATCAAAATCTAAATATTTTTGCACGCAGTTTTTATTTTGTTTTTGGAAATATTAATGGTTTAGCTATAAAAGTTTTATCAATTAACCCATAGATAGGGGGAAGAGGCGGATCCATATATTTCCCAAAAGTGTTTGCGCGTAAGTAAATATAACGAACCCAACAGGAATTGGAACTCGGCTCTCCGATTAACAACGCAAACACGTTATCTATTACAATACACGCAAGATTACTGTAGGTGGTATTCCCAAGCTGTTACCCATCTAGGTACTGACCAGGTTCGACGTTGCGTAACTTCGGTAATCGTACGGAAATCGGTGTTTTCAACGTGATCTGGCCGTATCCCAACAATATTTAACTTCTACAGTCCTGATACTTGAAACAAAACGATCAAAGCCGCTGGGAAATCCATAACGAAACAAATTTAATTATGTTTGTTCTCATGAGAGGTATATGTATGTACAAAAATGTTCTTGTTCCATGCATGCCACGATATTTACCTACCTGTACCGGCATTAACCCGAGGTGGGTTGAGCCGGCTCCCATATTGGAATTTCATGGGAATTTGGAATTCACAAGCGGTCCCCAACCCGCATGTATAGCACATGAGATTTTGATTATAATGGTGAAGGTTTCGTGCAGGACCATCCACACTTTTTCAAGGGTCGATTACAGAGACCTGGTGCACCCCGAACGACCCTCCGCAGGTTTTGAATTCAGAGTTTTTCCTTCTCTTAGACCACTTGCCATCCAAGGCTATAGAACCCAGTCATTTAGAAAAGATTAACATTGGTATTACTTGGAGAGAAACAAAAACTCGATCTTGCCAGGTAAGCGTAACAAACCGACACACATAAGGTGTCTTGTAAAAAAAAATATTCTTTTTGTTTTCTCTGTATTCCTTGTTTCTTTGCATTTTTCAAAGGTCTTTTCAATTTTATTTTCTTTCTATTTTCAGTGTCCAGTATTTTTTTTTTTGCCAGAACTTTCTTCTTTCCAATAAAGAATATCACACAACCTAAAAGAAATAAATACTTACTAAATGTCCAAAGTCTACCAATAGTTTGCTTTGTCGACATTCACACCCAATTATTTCCATCAAATTAAACGCAAGAAAAAGAAAAAAAAAATGGTGGCCGATAAAAAGTGGAAAGGCTATTGACGATGTGAAAAGTTGGTGAATAGGCTTCCTTGCTTTGGACAAGAGAGAAAGAATGAAAAGCAATCACTGTCGATACAATTCTTAAAATCAATAAAGTTCTCGATCGATTGAACTATTTATCACTTACTGTTTTTAATCAAGCGGGTTTTAAATCTTTTTATTCTCATATTGGTTTGGTGACTTTCGCCTGATTTAATTTTTTTTTTCTAAGTGGTTGTCTTTTTTCGTTTTTAATTTTCATTAAGAAATCCTTCAATCTTCTTTTTCTTAGGTTAAAATTTAAATATACGAAAACATCTACACACACTTTTACACATAAACACAGACATACACATAGGTTAAACACATATTCAACATAATTTACACATAATCAAGCTACCATGCAGATGTTTAAAACACACACACACATACAAACACACACACACGCACATGTATATATTTTATAAATATATACACAAACACTAATACTTACTTCATCCTTCGTCCCGAACATTGAATTCTACTACATTTATTTTAATACATACATATATATATATATATATATATATATATATATATATATATATAGATGCATATTTTATTAAAAACATACAAGGTTAAATTTAATTTTTTCTTGTGTTCTAACAAGAGCTTTCTTTTCTGGACAAAGTGTTGTCCAAATGTTTTATATTTTCAGCGCTTTTTCGGGTATACCTTTAGCTATTATCAAGGATGATTCAATTTTTCAGCTTAATTTACATTATGCATTAGTGTGTGGTAAGGATGTTTTAATTTCCGAAAACGGCTAGCACATTGTGGCCTTGTTCGTAGTTAATACTGTTAAGAAAAACGAAGTATTGCTTCAAATATACAACTATATATATGTTTCTGGTTGTTTTTCATCTGTTGCTTTACGTTGCATTTTTCGAACTTTGTATTGCCCTACATCAAATTGAGTAATTTAGTATATGCGTTTAATTGCCAGTTTTTTGGAAACTAGAATCAACCAGCATGTACCTTCCAAAAATACGACTTGGTAAGATAGATAAAACGTGATGTCATATTTTACGGCTGGTTCCAACAATCATTTGAAGATTTTGGAATCGATACAGAAAAAATTTGTGAAGTCCTTAATCTGTTTTGGGGATATTTTATTTAACTGTCCCTCGCTAATTTATTTACACGTTATTTCCCTCCCTCGTTCAAGTATAGATTGTTTGTTATTTTAGCGTGTCCCCCCTCTTTTTTTGCTCTTTTATTTTCGTTACTGTTCTTTTCGTTAAAATTTAGATGTTGGTTGAAAGGGTCTTAGAGACTAATAAAATTAAAATCAATAAGAAACACTACAATAAGTTTTGTTGAAATCGGTTGAAAAATGTAGGAAATCCGATCCCATTATAAGGAACACACACACACACAAACACACACACACACACAAACAACTAATTACATATGAGTTGTCCCCCTTTTTTTAATGCCTATATATATGAAGAAAAATATACTAAAAAATCCTAATATGCGATTATGTGTTTAATGTTAATATAATGTCAATTTCAAATTTGACCATCTTCATATTCATAAAAACATAATTAACATTAGACCATACTTCAATTCAACCTGAAAAAGACGATGGACATAAGAGCAAGACCAATCCAAACAGAGAACTGAAGTCTTTTATAAGATCAATTGATCACATCGTCGTCACGTGGGTGATGTTGTGAAAACGTATTCCTAAAATTTGAGTATTTTGAATGAAAAACGAACAGAATTTTATTTTTAATCTAAAACTTATATGTACGTTTGCTAGAAAAACATATTTTTCTTCATACTGTCGGATCTATATCAATATTTGCTTATATATTATATAATATATATATATATATATATATATATATATATATATATACTAAATATAAAGCACCCGGAGATGTAACATTAACATCGACCATCATAAAGACTGAAAAACAAAATTGACAAAGATTATTGTTTAAGGTTGATATGCATGAATTAGATTTTTTTGATTTAATTTTTTTCTTGTTTTTTTACGAATTGGTCAAACCCAAACTCAAACAAAACATTGTTTTCAATCATTATGAGTCTACTGATTCAATTTTTATTATAAACATTGTCTTGTAAATGGATTTTTTAAAGCATTCTGAATGTAAAATAAAGAAAAAGTGTGCAAGACAATAAAAACACTACCTAAGTTTTGTTGAAATCGGTTTGTAGGAAATCCGATCCCATATATAAACGAACACACACACACACAAACACACACACACACACACAAAAACACACACACACACAAACAACCTGTTTTATAATAAGTATAACTCGATATGAGTTGTCCCCTTTCATTAATGCCTCTTAATCGTGTTTTCAAATTGATTTCGTTCAAAAACAATTGTTTTTTTTTCAATTTTGGCGCTGTCAGAACCACAAAGTTTTGTTGAAATCGGTTGAAAATGCAGAATAAACGAACACACACACACACACACACACACACACACACACACACACACACACACACACACACACACACACACAATCTGCGTTTTTATAATAAGTAAAATTCATGCATTGTTTCATTAAATACACAAGTTTCATTCATCTCCATCCCATCATATCCCAAATCCCTACTCCGGTCTCACAATTAAGCAAAATCATCAACCAACTAATTACATCGTACATACCTAGAAAATACAGTATTAAATCGACTCATGAAATAATACAAAACTTAAAACCACAAAAACCTAATAATTAAACCAGAGCCTCAACTGAGGTTAAAATGCATTTGAGGTGACTAACAAATATAAGAATAAAAAGATATAAAATCCGCTTGATTAAAAACAGTAAGTGATAAATAGTTCAATCGATCGAGAACTTTATTGATTTTAAGAATGGTATTGCCACTGATTGCTTTTCATTCTTTCTCCCTTGTCCAAAGCAAGGAAACCGATTCGCCAACTATTCACACCGTCAACAGTCTTCCCACTTTTTATCGGCCACCATTTTGCGGCTTACCATATCTGGTTATCCCGTTTGGTTACAAAACATTCGTAACCACAACGGTTTATTTTAAGATACCTTATCGTGGAGGGCGCGCGCACATGTTTGCAAAAATCACCATGACAATGATTACAAATATATTCATTTTGTCTTCGCAGTTCACCCCCTACCCCAACCACCGTCACGAGGATGATCTCGAAGGAGATTGAAAGTACTTGGGTTAACAATAAATACGCCGCCTTCCTTCGTTAATTTCAAACAAACATCAAAAAGATAATTAGAGAAATAGAAAGGATTATTACAAAACTAAAAAGACATAATAAGTCTATATTATTTAATGAAACAATTTTGAAAGATGATATGCTGCCTATATACACAAATATATATATATATGTGTATGTGTGTGTTAATGCGTGTATGCGTGTGAATTTAAACAGCGTCTCTCTCTCTCTCTGTATATATATATATATATATATATATATATAAAATATATGTAGAAAAAGGAATATTGAAGTCAACATCCAGAGGCGACAGGCTGTTTTATGCTAGACGCCGTCATCAGGCCACCGATTGCGTCTGGCATGAAAAAAAGCCTGTCGCCACTGAGTGCTAACTTGAATGTTTACTTTTATATTTATATTTACCTCTGATATTGAGCACTTTTTCCATAAATATAGCACACCTTAAAACTATATTTCTTCACATATATATATATATATATATATATATATATATATATATATATATATATATATATATATATCATATATATATATATATATATATCATGTATATATATATATATATATATATATATATATATAAAGAAAAAAGACTTAATTAGTCATCATACAATCTATAAAATTATTTCTATAGTTATATATATACTTATATAATAGAGAAAAGACTTAATTAGTCATCATATAACGGGTTATAAAGTTATTTCAACAGTTATATATATATATATATATATATATATATATATATATATATATATGTAGGTATACCCCATCAGAGCGAATACATTTCCAGTAAATGATAAAAATTCAGCGAGGCAATTTGACGATAAAACAGATATTAAAAAAGAACAAGTAAAGGAGAAGAAAATGAAAAAAATGAAGTAGCGATTTTAACTTGACCTTAAAAAAATTTGGGGGAGATTTACTGTCATGGGTCCTTACCTATAACTAGAG